AGTAATTATCTGGCTAAACATTCATCATTTGTTACTAGGTTTACAAGTTCATGGAGAGTTAGAAGACATAACTAAGTCATCCTTGGTGTTTTGTATAGATAAACCCAGTCAATATTTGATCTTCTGTCCTTGCACCTATAGTGTAAATCCTTAGCTCCTTCTTTATGTCCTTTGGTTAATGGTTTTTACAACCCCTTGAAATGTGCTTTAGGTTTTAGATGCCTGTTTGTTATCTCAGAAGCAATTAACTCATGGTACTTGAAGGCTTGCAGAGTGCTCATCGAAGTTTTGATATCAGAAAAGATTTAATAACCGGTTCTGTTATACAAAGGGTTCGAGTGTCTCTGTCTGGGTCACCATTCTGAAGCAATGGTAATTTCTGCATGCTAGTTATTTCTGCAGAATGAATGATCTTTGTTCTTGCATACTATTTAAGTCTGGGGGTCTTCCTTCAGTGTTTCTCGAACCCTAACACTTTCTCATTGTGAGTTGATTATCATGTCTGTCTATTCCCACATAGATGCTGAGCCTAGGTTTTGGACAATTCACACTTGAAAACTGTTTTCAGTCACTGTGACATTCTTGTACAAGCTCTATGAAGGCAAGAACACTCTGGTTCCTGAGGAACAAGTAAATGGCCGGCATGGGCAATTAGAGTTGTTTATCCCTCCAATTGAGAACCAACATTGTCCACTGACAGCGTTAGATTTCAAAGATGCAAAGACACTCCAAATAGAAAACTGTTAACAGTTAGTTAGGAGCTTAAAACCAAGGATGTTTTTCACAGAACTGGGTTCACATTTCAAATAGAGCTACACAGGGGTCGTAACATTCGGTATCTTTTGTACAGAAATGTTTTCACTGGTTTCAGTGACTCCTCCAGATGTGCGTTGGCGTCTCTTCTTTGACCTTTCCACACAGCCTCCTTTCCCAATATTCCTTAGCTCCTTCAGTAATCTGTATGACTTGTTCTTTCTCAAGACGAGTAAGAAAGAAAGTTTCAAGCAGGAAAATGCAACAGAAACACTCTCAAAACCCCACTGAAGAAAATAGGAAAGAACATTGCACTCGGATGGCAGAGGTGAGTTTCAGAGCGCTAGTTGATTTCTACAGGCAAAGTGGGAGAGGAGGAGCTCAGGGGTTGAGGAACTGGGCAGAGAGAGTGAGTGTGCAGCCGCGGTGGTGAATTCCAGGGCCACTGGGTCCAGCGGCAGTGACATCAATGCATAGCAGGTTCTTACTGGGCTACTGATGGTTTTCAGGCTACTTGATCAAGCAACGTGTGTTCCACACACCAGCTTCTGAGTCTTGGTCAAAACTGTAGCACGGTATTGGCAGGGTGCAGTGTAACTAATTCCTTTTACTTGGTCCTCTAGAATATTCTTCTCACAATAAACCTGACCCAAAAGGCAATAACAACTAGATGGTAACCACTACTAAACATCAGTGAGGCCCAGAGTTTGCACGGTGGCAGAAGACCCAGCTCTCCAGCTAGTTTTCAGTGAGAGCAGTTTCAATTATTGATTACTAAAAAATCTGAAAGTCATCATTAATCTTTTAATAAAAACACACCGGTCTGGATTCAGTGCACCCCAATGATGTGCCATTTCCTATCATCAACTCAATGCAATTAATTCATGGGACCATTTAAATGCTGTGTGAGCTAGGGTCAAGTCCTGCTGTGACAAGAAGCAAATCTAACCCAGAGAGTGTAGACGTGCTGTTCTTTTGTCACAAAACCATTGTCCAGCTAGATGAAGAATTGCTTCACAATGGAGAAGGGACCTTTTGGTATCTGGTTTTCTCTCAGGTGAAAAGAAAGGGTCCCACCCCTACCTCCTTTGAACCTTTTCTTAGAATCTTTGCTGCCACAACACAGGTGAGAGTAGGATCTCTGTACTCCAGAGCCAAAACTCAATGAGCATAGCACCTCTGAGTAATGAATGGAGAACAGCGGCCCACCGGCATCTCCCGAGGTCCTCGTCCAACAGCCACAGGATGTAAGCCTTCAACTCTGTCTTCCCTGTTTGACAAAAAGCACACCAGAGCCTGCTTTCAGCACGCCAGGTAATCTTGATTTACAACATCAAGGGCTTTCAAAGGCTGTTTGCTTTCATGCACTCCCCCCCATCCTTATATAGTGACCCAAATAAATTTTAGTTATTTACTACGAGTAGAAAACAGGACCAGAGGCGTAGGCAGGTAGATCTTTGTGAGTTTGAGGCCAGTCTGGTTTACACGGCAAGTTCCAAGACAGCCAAAGCTACACAGAGAAACCCTCTCTCAAAAAAAAAAAAAAGATAAAAAAGAAAAAGAGAGAAAGAAGGAAGATAAGAGAGAGAGAATAGGGTTGAGGAAATAGCATTGCAAGAAACTCAAACACCTTGGTTGCCTTAAGGTACTGAGATCATGGGACAAAAAGCCATTTGCAGAAAATCAGTTTATTCATGGGATTCCCAGGCACTATCTCCCTTCCAGTTCCCAATCTCATTCTAAGTATGACCTGGTTTATAATTTAGATTTTTCCTTCTTATTTCTTTGTTACAGAAGCTTTGTTTGTGCCGTACACGTGATATTCTCTCTGATTTCCAAAGCAATCATTGTGATTCCTATTTTTATTCTGTGTTGCTTCATTACCTCTTCCAGAGCGCCTCAGCCTTCCTGATGATGCAACCCTTGAATACAGTTCCTCATGCTGTACTCAGCCCCAGGCCTAAAATTATTTTTGGTGCTACTTCATAACTGTCATTTTGCTGCTGTTATGAATTGTAAAGTAGATACCTGATATGCAGGAGATCTGCTGCTCAAAAGGGGCTGTTCCCTGCTATTTAGTCTCCCTCCTCTGTTTTGTTTCCAGACTTTCTTTCCTCTAGTGTCTGGTGAGCTTTGGTTGACTGTAAACAGTCTTAAACTCCATGGAACCAGATGGCAAGCCTGTGATCAGGGTGGGGCACACCAGAGGGAACTGAGAAGAACTTACTGTTCTCAGCCTGAATTTTAGCAACGGTAGATCTTTTGTCCTGCTTGTCAGGGAGGGACAAAAGTTACCCCAGAGAGGGATCCTGCTGGCTCTTGCCTGGGAGATAGATAATTATGGCAGACAGAAAGCAAGGTGCTCAGAACTCAGAAAGGCCTGAGTGAGGGGCTTTGTGGCTCACATGAAATCCCAGTGCATGTGAGGCTGGGGCAGAAGCATTGTACATGTGAAAGGTGAACCTCACAGTGAGTTTCAGGATAGCCTGGGCTAGAGCGAGGACTTGTCTCAGTAACACCAAAGGGAGAGGACTTAGAATGTAGACTTTGAATTTCCCTATTTAACATCTGCCTTTTTCTTGTGACTCACTCTGCCTCCGCCCTTCTCCATTTCTTCTTTTTCTTTCTAAGTGTGTGAGTTTAAAACATGCCTTATGAATACAGGCAGCACTGTACCCCAACCAACATCTCAGACCACAGCTGTGTAATGAATGAGTGCCAAATCCAGAATCTATAATTCATCATCCCAAAGATTGACTTCCCATCTTTCTCTACAGACGGAAGAGTCAGCAGGCTGTTCTCCTGTCTGGGGGTTTAACCCCTGTACACAGAAGACATCCAACCTGTCTTCCTCCTCCTAAACTACCATACAGTGTGGCTTCTACACCTAGTACCTGCTAGGTTCTAGGTCAAGGGCCAGCTTGCTTTCCTTTGATCTTCCTTTCTGTACACACTTAGGTGTCAGCTCCCCTGTTCTATCTTGATCACAAAGTGTTTTGTTTTGGTTTGGTTTGTTTTTTGGCTTACATACTTAAAAAATATTTATTTTTATGTATATGTATGTTTTGCCAGCTTGTGTCTCTGTGCACCACATGTGTGCCTGGTGTTGCGGAGGCCAGAGAAGGTGGCAGATCCCCTGGACTGGAGTTACAGAGAGTTGGGAGTCACCAGGTGGATCCCTTTGCCTGGTTTTTGAGAGCCTCTCCCACTGTGGTTCTCGGGCTGCTCTCTACCACCTGTGCTCAGATGAACACCGACCCCAGCTTCCAGAGTATGCGGTAGAAAATGCCAGATGGCTCCACCCGACATGCGCACTTAAGAATCTTTACTCAGGAGTTGGTTTCTGCTTCTTCCAGACAGCTGGTCTGGTCTCAGAGTCTTTGTAACTTTCTTTGCTTACTCTCTGGAACGTAAGGGCCTATTGAATCTGGTCAGTTTCAGGGATTTTCTGACTCCAAGCCAAACCAAAAAAAAAATCTTTACTCAGTATTTTAATGACTTTTGCAACGTATCAGAGTCAGAGCTGAGGGCCCAGCTCTCCACCTACCCACAGGTCAATCTTTAGAAACATAAACTGTGACAGACTCTTTGTCTAAACAACATGATGTCCTGTGACACATCCTTGTCAAGAGGAGGTCCGTGTGACAGGTCCATTTGGAGGAAACATACACACAAAAATGATTTTTTTTAAAAAAAATCAGTATAAAATGTTGGATGCACACAGGATAGTTAACTATGAAGGCATGTTGGTGAAAGTAGTTGCTAGGTTTTTTGTTTGTTTGTTTTGTTTTTTTTTTTTTTGGTTTTTCGAGACAGCGTTTCTCTGTATAGCTGTGGCTGTCCTGGAACTCACTCTGTAGACCAGGCTGGCCTTGAACTGAGAAATCTGCAGCCTCTGCCTCCCAAGTGCTGGGATTAAAGGCATGTGCCACTGCCGGCGGCGCTAGTTTTAAATATAAATAGTAGTTCTCTTTTTTCATTAAGTTTCTTAACTTCATAATAAAATGGAAGGAAAACTCTCATTTAGAAACAGAAGTATTTATCCATTCCTAATGAGCCAAATCTTTAAGCAATTTAAAATACTGGGCACTTATTCCTGGTCTGCCTGACACCTCTCATCAAATATATGGGGAAAACAAGTCAAGTGCTGAAATCCAGAGATGTGTACGAACTTCCTGCTTTGCACACAGCTCAAAAGTAAAAGGCCACAACCTGTTGGGAAAGGAGGAACTTGGAGGATGCTTAAATAGCAGGCATGCTTTCTCTAGTCAGCCAGCAGCTCATCCAGCTACCTGTCACCATGAAGGCTCTCCTGACTCTGGGGCTCCTCCTGCTTTCTGTCTCTGTGGAGGCCAAGGTCTACGAACGCTGCGATTTCGCCAGAATTCTGAAAAGCAATGGAATGGCTGGCTACTATGGAGTCAGCCTGGCAGACTGTAAGTCTCTTCTTCCTGATGCCTCCAGCTAAACTTTCAGAACAGGGACAAGAGAGCACTGAGGGACCAGAGAGGGAGCTGCAGCATACGATGTCATGTTTGCTCCCTGTGTGACTGAGTTCATTTGACTAAAGCATCAACTTGTATCTTTTGAATCAGAGATGCTGGGGTGAGCGTTTAGAAGGGACATTGTGTGCCACGCTAAGGCGATAGGACCTGAGGTGCTCTTGAACTGTCACTGGGTTTTTCAGTTGCTTCAGACTCAACAGCCCATGAGAAAGGAGACTGAGAACAGGTGGGGGACTCAGTCATTCAGAACTTGCGATCTGAGATCCTGGAGAGACACGGTGTTTGTCTTCACTACTCTTACCATGCTGTGCAACTTTTGATATAACTTAAAAAAATATTTTTTGACCTTTCTACACAGGGCAGAGGGATCCTCTTTGCCCCCTGTTGCTGTATAAATGAGGTCCTCGGAAACTGAGTATAAAAACACCTTGGGGTAGCCCTTAGTTGCCCACAACAGAAGATCTGGATGAGGCACAGTTCCTTCTGGCTTATATCATCTGTGTTGTCACAATCACATTCGAGTCAAGAGGCTACTGCTCAGCAGAGAGATGTCTGTGTGGGTGGATGGATGGATGAAATTGCAGAACAGCCTTTTCTGTTCTGATGTTCTTGTTCTCAGTATTCTCATTACACATTTGTAATGGTACACGCTCCTGGATTCCAAGCAATAGGATTCTGAGGCAGGAGACTGCAAGCTCAGTGCCAACGATGGACACTTGGTGACACAGAGTAGAAGAAAGAATTCTAACTTAACATGCAAATTCACATTGATTATAAGAACAATCTCTCTGAGAAAAATCCTTATTTTCTAATATTAATACCTCTAGCAGGATATGCATTTCATATTAATTAATTAAATGTGCATTTCTACTGTTTGCATGTCTATTTTAGGCAGAGGTATCTTGAAGCATGAGATGGTGTATGTGGTCGGTAAAAGCAATGGAAGAAATAGCTATTTTTATTTGGAAGGGGACATGATTTCACTATATAGCACTGGCTGGAACAGAACTTGCTATGCAAACTAGGCTGGTCTCAAACTCACTTAGATTCGCCAGGATCTGCCTGCCAACTGCTGGGAATAAAATTGAGCACCACTGTGACAGGTTTATGTTTTAAAAGCCCCATAATCTGGTTACTCTAAGGGGTTCTGTTTGGGACACTTGAAAATTACTTGCTGACTTAGGACAGCAGTTCTACCTACTAGAAGGGCAGAGGCAGGAGGATCACTTGAGACCAGAGACTACCCTGGACAACACAGCCAGAACCAGGCTGAACTAGTGGTAGCATATTATATAATTTAACCACATGATTGAACTTCCAGTGCATCACTTCTAAAGTAGTGCCAGCTCAAAGGCTGATTTCTGTATCAAGTATAGATCCATTGCTGTTGATGCTGAAATCTTTTGTTTCTCTTCTCAGGGGTGTGCTTAGCTCAGCACGAGAGCAATTATAACACACGAGCTACAAACTACAACCCTGGAGACAGAAGCACTGACTATGGGATATTTCAGATCAATAGCCGATACTGGTGTAATGATGGCAAAACCCCAAGAGCGGTCAATGCCTGTGGGATACCCTGCAGTGGTAAGTCAAGCCGGGTTTGCAGTGACAGCGAACAACCATTCTGCTCTTACTGCAAGAGCAGAGATTCTGTGCAGGAGCCATAACACTGGAGGAAGCATCAGGAACCTGGGGAGACTGCCTTTACTGTTAGGAAGCCATTGTTAACTCCATGAAAATTAGCCAAGTAAGGCATTAATGAGGCTTATGGTGTAGTTTGGTGATAGAATGCCCTGACTACAAAGCAGAGATCCCTTGTTACCACCGCTAAAATCAATGTATGAGTAAGTGATATGAGGTAAATAGAGGCTGGACAGATAGTTCTGATGGAACAGTCATCACAGTGTGACCCCCAGCAGCCACAAAAAAGCAGAGTGTGGTGACATGCATTTGTAACCCCAGCACTGGGGGAGTCTAACACAGGCAGATGCATGGGGCTCACTGGCCAACCAGCACAGCCTGCTCTGAAAGGCAGTTCCCAATGGCAGACCCTGCCTCAAATACCCTGGGGACCGCTCCTGGAGAAGCCCTCTGACAGTGGTCTATATTAATTCCTGCTTTATCAAATTTCATTGTTAACTTTTCCACGATAGACTTTGGAACATTCTTTGTAACCTGCTTAGTCTGACTTTAAGAGTGTTTCATGCGCTCACCGATGGTCACTGGAAAGTGATAGAAAACACCAGCAGAGTAGTGTCACTCCATCTTGAGCACTCAGAGGATAGACTTAACTGGAAACCTTAGGAAAAAGCTCCTGTAGAACGTCAACCTACTGTCCATACATGTAAACTTACATGATACACATGTGTGCTCACATAAAGTCATGTAAAGATTTTACAGTTATGTGTAAATTACGCTTACACAGCTTCCTGATGTGGCTATCAATCAAAACCACCTCTGCAGCAACAAACACTGACCAAGATTCTCATCTTAAAGAGGGAATAAAATCACAGCAGCAAAATTCTGTGCTTAAGTCTTATGTCTTGAAGCAGCTGTGCTCCTTGCTTTCTGTCCGCTATAATCTGCTAGGAAAAGCTTTCTACATAACAATCTTGTATTCTGTCTTCTCTTTTAAAGTATTAATTTATCTATGTGTGTGATTTTTGCCTGATATGATTCTGTGCACCATGTGTGCCTGGTACCTGCAGAAGCCAGAACTTGGCTTCTTCAAATCTCCTGAAACTAGTTACAGACAGTTGTGAGCTGCCATGTGGGTGGTGGGATTCAAATCCTCTGGAAGAGCAGTGGGAGCTCTCAGTCACACTGAGCCATCTCTCCAGCCCTTGGTTTTCCTTTAGGATAAATTTTCACTGGCAGATGCCCAGGTTTCAGGTGTCTGCCTGCTCTGTTTCCCAGTGTGGGGATGAACAGGGCTTCCCCTACCCTAGCCGACAGTCACACATCCTCCACTGAGTCCTCACAATCTCAGTGGCTTCACTACTTTTCATCAGGGCTAGGATCCTAAGAACCTGAGTAATGGCATATGCTCAAACCCCGTACCACACAAACATATCCCAGACCCACCAGGGATTCTATAAGTGAGACATAGGGTGACTTACTCCAGGTCACACGGAAAGAGCCAGCTGCTTTAAGACATAAGACTTAAGCATCTGTTCTCAAACAAAGAATATTGCTCCTGTGATTTTATTCCCTCATTAAGATGAGAATTCAGGTCTGTATTTGTTAGTGCAGACATGGTTTTGAGAGAGAATCAAGAGACGGTCTGCAGTAATCACAGATTTATAGACCTTTGAGAAATAATTCCTTGAATTCGAGGTGCTAACTGCCATAGAGAAAGCTGGCTGGATCTGACCTGAAGGAGTTCTATAACTGTCCTTGTCTTTCCTCACTCCTGTCTTTCAGCTCTGCTGCAGGATGACATCAGTCAAGCCATACAATGTGCGAAGAGGGTTGTGCGGGATCCCCAAGGCATTCGAGCATGGTATGTTGGAACACTGGAAGGGGAATGCTTGTCTCTGTTGATATAAGCTGTGTGTCTCTCTAAGGCCCAAGTGTCATTCTGAGAACTGAGGGTACAGCTGGGGGCTTTCCTACATCATCATTTTTAGGGAATTTCTCCAGGTGGTGAGAGTCCCCACATGTGACTTCTTCCTTCTCAGGCCTGCAGACTAGTTGTAGAATCAGTGGACTGTACAGTTCACAGGATGTGACAACACTCCTCAGCATCCTGTGCTCTGCTGAGGAGGCAGAGCATCAAACCTCCATGTAGACTCAAGTCCATAGTTGTAGGGGTGATATTTAGAAAACAGCACCCATATAGCTTGGTCCTGGGCAGCTGCCATGTCCCCGCTGCTCCTCGGCTCTGACCTGGGCTCTGCCTAGCTAGATGTGCAGGCCCTGGCACCCATGAGATGCCAACGTGGGGCATTGCTCTCCCACTCCACTACACTGCATCCACAAAGCTCGGCTGAACCCAGAGAATATCTGCCATTCCCTCAGGACCCGGTAGAAATAAGACTCTTAAAGCTTAATGATTATCTAAAGGATTTATAGATTTAGAAATGCCCAATCAACAAGATGCCCACACAATTAGAGTTGTTACCCAATATCTAACCTTTTGATAGAAGTTGCTACCCAGGGCAGATTTCGATTCATCTGTGGTTCTCCATGGCTTCTCCCCTTCCTCCTCCTCCTTCTCGTCCTTCTCCTCCTCTTCATCTTTTTCTCCTCTCCCTTTCCTCTTTCTTTCCCAGCTCCACCACCTCTTCTACTGTCTAATCCCTGAGCTCCACTGTGAATACAATGTAGCAGAATAAATATCCTGCTACACATAGTCATAGCAGCTTCTGGGGTCAGATATAGCCTCTGTGACACACTAGCTCTTGGCTCAGAACCCAGTCTCCTTTAGTGTCACGCTGACAATATACTCTCTCAAAAGGTTTCACTATGTGTGTGTATGTGTGTATCTGTGTGTGTGTATTTGTGTGTGTGCCAAAGTAGACGAATTTTAACCATCTTTCCCCATGTCTCTGTCCTCCACAGGGTGGCATGGCAAAGACACTGTCAAAACCGAGATCTTTCCCAGTATATTCGGGACTGTGGAGTCTGACTGCTGTGTGCTTCTACTGCAGCTCATTCTGTCTCTTTCTCACTATAGGAGTAGGTGTGGCAAACGTCACACTTCCTTGCTTTCCCCAAACTAACAGGACTTCAGCAGAAACAGGACAGAATGGAGATTTCTTCCTAAGAGGCTTGATGCTGATACTGTGTTTGCTGTGTTGAGCAAAGCCTCACCTGTCAGTCAACTAATGTCCTGGACACTGCAGACAGTCATCCAGCACAGTGATGGCCACACACATCTGTGTACATGAGTTCTTCACCCAGGAAGTAATTCACATTGAGTTCCATTGAAATTCATCCTAACCAGTCCTGTGCTGCTTAAATATACAACAGCTTTTTACAGGGTCCAGTTGATCTATGGGAATGTCTGTTATGTGAGCTCCGGGGCTTTGTGAGGCTCAGCACATAGTTAGAACAGTCTCTATGGTGGGTGGGCAGGGATTTCGAGGGCTCAGTACTCTCAGTGGATGAGAACTGAGACTGCCTGAACTCAGAATCTCATCATGAAATGTGTGACCTTTGAAAACAGTATCCTCTTAGAGATGGACCATTTATCCTGCTTAAAAAATAAGTTCTCTGCTCATGGGTGAGTCTGTGTAAACCCTTGATAGGATGTTTGTGGGGTATTCAGGAGGGACTAGTGAGCTGTGCTTGTCCTGAACTTTCTTAAGTAGTTTCATGCATACTAACTAACTCTGAGACAGATGAGCTTGTGTCAGGAAATAACCACAGGAGAAAATCTAATCTCATAGTGAAAACGTACAAATAGCATTAAATGATTTTCAATGCACAGGTTGTCTTTGTCTTCACTCTGAATTGGTATGTCTGGGGGAAATTGTTTATGTGTTGGAAAAAAATCAAATTGGAGTCTAAACATGACCTACATGCTCACCTACACATAACCAGCCGGAAATCTACACTCTCACCTACACATAACCTGATGAATATCTGGGTAAAATTCAGAGCAATCTGGCCAATCCCCCTCCATCCCTAAGTGGACCTTGAGAGAGTGAACCAGTCTTTACCTTCAGAGTCTACTCCAGCCCAGCCTCATCTCCAACATGCTGCTTCCTCTCATGCCTTTGCTGGCTCTTAGATGGTGACTTTCTTAGATTCCGACCTCAGTGTGGAAGTGTCAGGGCTTTATCCATCACCAATTTTACATTTATTTATGATATATTTATGTATTTACTTGCTAGTTTTCCCCCTTTGAGCCACTTACTCACCATTAACCATGATGTGAACACATGAAATGAAAAAAAAAATGCCAGAACAAACGTTGGCTCTGTGAGAATTTCCTATCCTATCCCATGTGTGTAAACCCCTATGCTCTGCCCTGTTGTGCCCAGCACATAACCTTCTCAAGGATACCCCCACTGTGAATACCACAGACTTCCCAGTCACTGAGGACTGGGTGAGCCTTCAGTTTCACCTTGCCAGTATCTCCATCCTTATGTGACTCTATTTAGTTTTTGGCTATTTCAGTTTACTAAATTTAATAATGATCCTTTCTAATTACCTGCTGTTAATCTCCTACTCTGCTGCACTGATAAACTGAACTTTCTCATGGATATATATATATGTCTAAAATGTAACGCATGTGGGATTCTGTATACTAGCTGTGGTTTCTATCACCTAATCTCACCATCAGAACCAGAACAAGCTTGTGATTTCCTAAGCAAGAATGAACTCAATACACTTCCCTTTGCTTTATCTGTAAAACTCAGATCACTTGATGGTTAACTCTGCTCCCCTCTGAGCCTTGAGGCAAAGACTGTCTTTGCAAAATCCCAGCAGTTCCTTCAGCTGAGAGCTTCCAAGGTTCTGAAGAAACTGCATAGTCAGAAAGCAGGGAGTGGGGAGCCTGATGTCTCCTTCCAAGCCTGGGGACCTGAGTTCAAACCTGGCTTGCACATGCTGCAAGGAGAAAACACATACCTCATTTGCTTGGTGTTTCGTAAATATCTCCTCCATCACCTTCTGGTTGGACTAATAAAGAGCTGAGCTGCCTATAGATATGCAGGAAGTAGAAGGTTGGACTTCCAGGAGGAGAATGGAACTCTGGGAGAGAGTCAGGTGCTGGAGAAGCCAGACACAGTGGTAGAAGCTGTCTGGCACTGAAGGAGAGGTCAACTATGAACAATGTAACAGAACATAGAACATATATACATAATGCATACGTGTATATGTCACAGCGTTTAAGCTGTGAGAGCGAGTTGGGAACAAGAGTAAGCTAAGGCCTAAAGCCATAATTAATAAATAAAAGTCTCTGTGGTTATTCAGAGCCTGGGTTGGCATGGAAAGTCCATATGGTTAGACAGAAGTATAAATTAATGTAGTATTTTAAGCTTTAATGAAATTAGGAGGGGCCTCCAGCTAGCTTCATTCTGTCATGGTCATGTCTGAAATATTCACATGGTGATTGTTGCCCAGAGGAGGATTTCATTTAGAGGCATCGGGCACAGCCCTAGGGTGTTGACTGAAAGGTAGGTTGGTGCCTACCCAGCTTCCTCAGCAGTGCATACCTACCAAGAGAGACTTCTTGCTACTGCTCTGGGCTTCCTGCTCAGGAGTTGGTGCACACAGTCTCTCAGCTGGAAATGTGTTGTTATAAACACCAAGGCTTATTGTGTTTTCCTGATTGTGGTACTCTTCCTTGTTTGATCTTTTCAAGGCAGTCATCGTGACTTGTGTTTTATTTTCTGTTGCTCCGTTTCCTCTTACTTCCTCCCTTCCACTTGGTTTTTTTTCTTCAGTAGCATCTACCTAGTACTGCCGATCTTTGATTGGCTGAATAGATTCTTAAGCACTAAGGTGCTGAGTGGAAAGTCTGAGATCAGGGCAAGCCATACCAGAAGAAGTTGAGCAAAACTGGTGTTTCTTTGTGTGTCCAAATGTTAACATCACTGAGTGTTTTCTCCAGATCTAGACAGGAATCCTCCAGAAAGCCTCTTTCCTGAAGGATCTTTTTATCAGACAGAAATAGGGGCACTTGGTTCAAAAGGTGTTGGTGGAGAGTGATGGGCTAGTGGTTAACACTTGTAATCCCAATACTTCTGAAGCTGTAGCAGGAATATTCCCTCAAATAGAGGCCTTGCTTGCTTTGTCTCTCAGTTAGCTATTAATTATGGGGTCAGCAGGTAGCCTCATGATTGTTAGGCAAATCATCTGCATGGAGTTCCAGCCCAGCCATTCAGTTCTGCCCTGGTTGTCAAAGGCCAGAGTGTGGAGTTCATCCTCTCTCAACTTTTCTTCTGATCCCCTGTCCTTCACAGATCCAGTTGTGTGTCTGCTGAGTCTGGGGCCCTAGGGAGAAGATCATGGAGTTCATGTGTTCCCCACAGAGGCAGCACAGTCTTCTGACTCATTCTATGACCTACAACACCTCTGCTGCCACAGGGGCTTCCCTGTAGCCAAGTTCCATTCTGCAGCCAGTCAGACACGGGCTTCCTGATGCCCCATGTTCCCACTCTTTCCTTCTTGGTTACAGCATATTGTGATCATTTCTTATCTGTCCTCAGTTTTATTTTCATGTACTTGTTGCCTCACACCTTTTGGGTGAGGAGGCATGGAGAACTGCTCACGAGATGTTGAGGCTGTACTCTGCCTCATTGGTTCATGAGACCTCCCAAATCAGACTCTGAAGTATGCTCCCCGACTCAGGCATCTAAACCTTCATATGCTGACTTTTGTATTAGTGACCTCTCTTTTACTTGATAAAATACTGTCAGGAGCCATAATGGGACAAGCTAATAATTACCAAGTGATCATCCTGAAATGGCTTACACTGGATTATTATATGACCTGCGACAAGTGAGGCCTTATCAACAAGACTGTAAGGAACCTATTTCAGGAAAAATTCCTGCTTTTAATATATCTTTTCTATCATTATTATTATTATTAAACATGTCTAACAATCAGTAAGCAATAGCACACCCCTTTGGAGCAAATCTCTGTAGATCCACGAAGGTGTACTGTCTTGTAGTGATGCTATATAGACACACAGACGACTTCTTAAGTCTCAATGATGATCCTATAAGAATTCTTCAAATTATATCAATGATTATTAAGTTCTTTTATAACGGGACTGCTATCAGGTCCATCTCTGATAATCAAACTGCAATGAGAACTCTGCAAGTCTCCCAAGTGTCATCAGTTAATTGCCCTTAGATAGTAACCAGACTTTCTGCTGTTCAGAGCACATTCCAAGAGGTTGTAAAACAATTAACCATAGGTCACCAAAAGGGAACTCACGATTTATTATATGTCCTATGACAGAAGGGAAAACATTGCCTGGGTTTATCCATACAAAACTTCACTAATTTCTTAGTTATAACCTTCAGTAAACCTGTAGAGCTAGACAGGTGATGGATGTTTAGCCTGATAATTACTCCTAGTGAATACGCATGTAAACATTCTCTGTTGTAAACTTCTATTTCCATTTATGATTTGATTTTTGGTGTGAACTTGTGATGAGCTCTGTAACATTTGATCATGTACTCTGAAAGATCTGTAAGTACTGAGGACAAAGAGATGAGAGGCAGTTAGAATTGTTAGAATAGAGAGATAGGATAGAGATGGAATAGAATTTTGACCTTTCCCCATTTAGAGTAGTATATAGAATAGAATTTTTCCTTTTTCCCAGATAGAAATTTTTCTTTTCCCCACGTAGGACCTTTCTGCTTTTCCCCTTAGATAGCTTTCATAGGAAACTTTTAACAACTTACTAATAAATGCTATAACCACATCTTTAAGTGTCTTTTCTTCCTGTGACCTCAGACTAGCAGGCATAAGTTATAGCCCTGTAGTTCCTGCTGAGAGAGTACAAAGACTATTTACTTAATCCTTTGCTGTTTTTGGGCTGAGGTACTAAGTGCCAGAAACTGCAGTTTCTGGCCTCAGAGGATACCAGAGGACAGGTCAGCTACAGTAGCATAATAAGTAAACTTTTCTAGTGTAGATAAGTAAAATTTTATTATACAGCAACCCTAAATATCTCGTAAGACTAAAGTCTCACCCTGAATCTTGTAAGACCAAAGTCTTACCGCCCCCCCCACCCGGCGACCCTCCACCCCCTCGCTGCTCCTCCACCCCCTCCACTGCCTCAAGAAGAACCAACAGAAAGAAGAAAGAAGACTTCTCCCCCAAGATGGGGCTGGCCTCCCAGCAAAATACTCTAAGTAAGGCAA